GGGGGGGGTATTTTCTGGCCACCAAAGCCGTCTCCAACGCCCTCCTTTGGAATTGTGTTTTCCTGTTGCAAAGTTCCTTCATCTGCGCTTCATAATTCAGTGCAGAGTTTGCAGTGTTTTTTGTCTTTATTTCCATATGGCATCGATTTTCTTCCTCAGATTCAAATGGAGTAGAGAAAGCGGCTCTGGTAAAACCTCGGGGTCTTTGCATGTTTCCTTCATTTCCATAGTCCAGTGAATTTGTGTGACTCTTCCCGTAATCGAATGGATGACAAAAAAAATAGTTAGGTCTTGCTTCAGATACTGCTTAAAAATAATAATAATCGGCCACACGTATTTCATCCTTTCTTCTCTTGGTGAAATCTACTGAATGGAACCACAGGCTGATCTCAGGCTGGGGGTTTTCTGCCCAACAAGTCTATAATGTCTTTATGGGATATAGCAACTGAAACTTATTTTTTTAGTTTTCTGGAGAAATGATCAGTCTTTGACTTTGTTTTTATGGGTTGGAGACGTAATACAGCTAGTACTCGAGCGTACAACCAATATTTCTGTTGCTAAGCAAGACGTTTGTTAAAGTGAGTTTGAGCCCGTGTTACGACCTTCCTTGTCACTGTTGTTAAGTGAGTCACTGCAGTTGCCGGTCAGAAGGTCGCAAAAGGGGGCACGAGTCCTTTGCCAACGAACGCCCAGCCCCTCTGAGACTGTTCTTGCCCTCGCCCACCGTCCCGTTTCTCCGCCTTTCCAGAAATGGCCTCGGACGTGTCTCCCTTGGGAGCAGCTTCGGGCACATCAGGACCGGCCGCAGGAAGCCTCGGCCAGAGAAGCAGCAAGCGGCGGACGGGGTATGTGGAGAAGGGTTAAGGTCCGTAGGGTCCTGGACCCCCAACAGGGGCAAGGGAAGAGGCGTGACCTTCTCTCCGCTCAAGGCCGGGCCCGACCCGGAAGGATTCCACTCGCCACCCCTGATTTTGTTGCTGTTGCGTTTTAGGCTCGAGTTTGACGACGATGGCGAAGGGAACAGCAAATTTCTCAGGTGAGATTTGTTTCCATTTCCTGGCCAGGAAGTTGGGATTGACAGAGGCAGGAAACCAAATAACAGAGCTGGAAGGGAGCTGGGAGGTCCTCTAGTCCAGCCCCCTGCTGGACCCCCTAGATCATTCCAGATCAATGGCTGTCCAGTTTCTTCTTGAAAACCTCCAACGGCCGTCTTGGTAAAACAAGGGCCGGAGAGACAGGACACGTTCTCAAGGGCAGCTCGGTTCAGAGAGAAAGAAGGGGAGGCTTCACAGAACCTTATGCCGGGAAGCTGGGATTTTTCAGTTGGTAAAAAATTCACCCTCTCAGGCCCTTTCATGGCATTCTTCCCCTTGTTCTTCTAGGTGTGAGGATGACCAGCTCTCCACGGACAAGGAGCGGTTCGCCAGGTAAGATTTTTTGCACAGCGAGGAGAAAGGGCATCCCTTGAGCCTCTTCTGCCAAGAAGCAAGACGGCATTTTCCGTGTTCGAATGTAAGCAGGCCTCCTTCCCTGATTCTTTGCAAAATATCGGCTTATTGGAGTCCAACCTGGCCTTGGAATTAAGCTGAGTTAACTAAAACAAGGCAGGAGCCTTTGATATTTCGCTACCTTTTAATATTATGCGTGGAAGCTCCCGGCTTCTCCAATCGCGAAGCAGTTGGCTGGAGAGAGAGAGAGCGGCCGCTGGCATCCAGGTGTGTTTCTGTAGTTCATGATTTGCTAGCGCCCTGAACTAAGTTCATTGCAAAAGGGGTTTTTTTTTTAATCCCATTTATCAGTTTCAGGAAATTGCTTGGGATTTTACTTGGATTTTTTTATTTATTTTTCCTGATTTCTGCCAGGCTTGCAAATCAACCACCAAGCATTTTGAACCTGGGGTTTTTAACTGTCTTCTGTAATTTGTTTTGCTACCCATTAAGATGCCCATCGAAACATTCAGCAAATAACACAACAAAACATTCAGCACCGAAACATTCAGCAAATAACACAACAAAATCTCAATCTTGAGGCTGCCCAGAAATGTCAACGAGGCAACAGCCAGGCCCTTGGATGTGAAAGTGGAAGAGTGGCCGTAGCCACTGAAGGGGTCTTTCTCAAGCGTGGCAGCTTTATTTAAGAGGGGTGGCCTTCAACTCATGGCTGGCTGGGGAATGCTGGGAGTTGAAGTCCGTTCCTCTTAAAGCTGCTGAGATTGAAAAACGGCCCCGTTAGAGGCAGACAGTTAACTCCGCAGAGCCCGGCACTCCGACGCCTGAGGCTGGATCTCGTTCCATAATCTTCTTTTCTGCTTGACGTGGGAAGAATGCCTGTTTCCCCTTGTTATTTTTCTGTACCGAGGGGCTTTCCGCCTTTTGGGGCCGGGGGCAGAGTTTGTCCCCCTGGTTCAGAGCCCACCGCCTGCACTAAGTGTCTCTCTGGCTGAAAGGCAGCTTCCTTTGCACAACCCTCCGTGCTCCATCCATCCATCTGCCCTCCCCTCCCTCTTTCTCTCCTCCCCCCCTTCCCCGTCCTCCTTTCTGCGCTCTGAGGCTGGGCAGCTAACCCCCTCCTCTTTCTTTGGGCTTCTTCCAGTGAGAACTGGGACCGTGAGTTTCTCCCCGCTTTCTCGGCCTGGGAGGCCAACCCCCGCCAGCTGCCCCTCCCTCCCCCCGCCCCGAAGTTTTAGCTTAGCTCCCCCATTTTATTTCTAGGTCTGATGACGAGCAGAGCTCAGCGGATAAGGAAAGATTGGCCAGGTAGGAAGACAGAGGTTTGCTTTGGATTCTCCACGCATGACAAACCACAGTTTGTTCACTTCCCCTTCACCCCCGCCTCCTCCCCCCACCCCCTTCTTCTGCTTCCCCCCCCCCCCCCCCTTCCCCCCCCTCCCCCCCCCCCCCCCTCCCCGGTCGCCTTCCCCGTTTTCTTCCTTTAAGGGCTGGAAAGTGGACAGAGAGTTTGGGGGAATCAGCTGCTGGGCTGGACACAAGAAGCCCTGAAAAACCAGCCAGGATGGTTAGCAGGCAGGGCCGCAGCTGTGACTGACGCCGGTTGGGGGTTTCCAGGACTCACCCAAGCCCCCAGGTCTCCCTCGGAGGGCTCAGCCCCCCATCCCTGAGCTCCTGGCTCAGGAAAGTGTAGATTTCCTCCCTCCAGCGACTAGCAGGAGTTGAGCGATCGAAACCTTTGCGGTTTTCTTTCTATTAAAAACCAGACCAGCCTCTTCTTCCTTCTCTACGTCCTCCACCCAGATCCATCTCCCATTCCATGCTTCCGGGTCCTGGTTTTCTGATTGACTAAATTCTTCCTCCCCCCCCCCTTTTTTTTTGTTGTTGGAAAGCTTGTAAAAACTTTTTTTGGGGGGGGGGGGGTGATGATTCTGCAGCCCGATGTCTCTGAGAGCTTCTGCAAAACTTTGCTGCTGCAAAGGAGGTTTTTGCTTCAAGAGGCCTGCAGAACCACGTGTCCCTATGCCAAGATGCTAAACCTGGTTTAGGGGCAGGGGCTTCTCCCCCCCCTCCCCCCCTCTGCCTTCCAAAGTCGTGAGGGTCCTTTCAGCCCCGAGGCAGCCTGTGTCCTCTTCCTGCTGCTTCGTATGCTTCTGTTTCCTAGAATTTGCTAGAAAGGAAGGAGGCCTGAATAGGCTACGATCTGCCAGCGGAGATAGAAGGAAAAGCAGGCAGGCAGGGAAGGTTTCGGGATAGGTTGCCTCTATCCATGGAGGCTCCATTCGCGGACGCCGTTGGACCTCCGAGCCCTTTCTGTCAGCTTCCCAAAGGCGCCTGTGTTTTATTTCAAGCCGAAAGGTTGCAACTCTCCTCGAAATCTTGTCTGCTTTTCTCTGTCTGCATGCCCGGCACACGTCCTCTTTCCAAGCCTTAACACCTCGTGGCCCCCTTTCCGCGCTCCCCACCTGCCCGCTCTCCCTCTTGTTTCGCCAGCCCGGCCTTTCCTTGCAACCGTCCTCCTTTTCTCTGTTCCTCTCTCCATCCCCAGGGAGAACCACAGCGAGATCGAGCGCCGGCGCCGGAACAAGATGACGGCTTACATCACCGAGCTCTCCGACATGGTGCCCACCTGCAGCGCCCTGGCCCGCAAGCCGGACAAGCTGACCATTCTGCGCATGGCCGTCTCCCACATGAAGTCGCTGCGGGGCACCGGGAACACCGCCACGGATGGCAGCTACAAGCCCTCCTTCCTCACCGACCAGGTCTCTCTCCTTGGCGTTTCTGGGGAGGAGGAGGAGTAGGAGGAGGATGGACGGTTGTGCGTTTGTAATCTCTTCGTCAGCGGTGGGATGGGAGAAGGAACTAGCAATAGCCCTTAGACTTATATACCACTTCGGAGTGCTTTGAAGTTCTCTCTAAGTTCTCTTTACTGAGCCGGCCTCTTGCCCCCGATAATCTGGGTCCTCATTTGACGGATCTCAAAAGGATGGGAGGCTGAGTCAACCTGGAGCTGATCAGGATCGAACTGCCGGCAGTGGGCAGAATCGCCTGCCATGCTGCCTTCTAACCACTGAGCCCCCAACCGCTGAATTTGAATTTCAGTGTGGATCGGTGGAACAGCTTCCCTTCCAGAAGTTGTGAGTGGAGGCTTTTAAGAAGAGATTGATCGGCAATTGGTCCAAAACCATATAGGGTCTCCTGCTTGAGCAAGGGGTTGGACTAGAAGACCTCCAAAGTCCCTTCCAAGTCTGTTTATTTTGTTATTCTCTTCCCCTTTGGCAGAGCTCCGTAGTCCTGCTTTGAGCCCGTGTGGCCCCTGTCCACGGGGCGGCCAGCGTGCAGGAGAGTTGGCAGCCGTGTGCACCCGCGTCCGAGGGGACTCCTTGGCCCTTCGACGCCTCAGCCTCCGCCCTGCTCTCCGTTTCAGTTTCTCTCTCTGTCCACAGGAGCTGAAACACCTCATCCTAGAGGCGGCCGACGGCTTCCTCTTCATCGTCTCCTGCGAGACGGGCCGGGTGGTTTACGTCTCCGACTCGGTGACGCCTGTCCTGAACCAGCCCCAGTCGGAGTGGTTCGGCAGCACCCTCTACGACCAGGTGCACCCCGACGACGTGGAGAAGCTGCGGGAACAGCTCTCCACCTCGGAGAACGCGCTGAGCGGTAGGTTTCCTCCCTCCGGCTCAGCTCAGCGGGGGAGAGCCGATGGCCGGTTCTCCTCCTTCTCAGCTGCTGGGAGCAGCCCGGTCCTCATTTTGTGGCTTGGCTTGGCTTCCGCAGGCCGGATCCTGGATCTGAAGACGGGGACGGTCAAGAAGGAGGGTCAGCAGTCCATGAGGATGTGCATGGGGTCCCGCAGGTCCTTCATCTGTCGGATGAGGTGAGTTGGAAGCCGGTTGTTGTGCCGGAGGGGCAGCGTGCTTCATTTAAGTCAGGGGCACTTTAAGACGGGTGGACTTCAACTCCCAGAATTCCTCAGTCAGCTTTGGCCAGGGAATTCTGGGAGTTGAAGTCCACCCATCTTAAAAGTGCCCATGGTTGGACACCCCTGATTTAAGCATGGTTTCTTTTAACCACCATTCAACAGGCCAAGACTGTGCTGCTTTGTGGCCGCTGACAGTTCGATGCCTTTTGAGTGGGGGGGCGGGAAGGGCTGTCAGCCCCTGCCAGTTGAGCCAATCCGTGCAGGGGAGGCCTCTGCAGGCAACGTCTCTCAGGAGAAGCTAGAAATTCGGATTTTTTTTTTTAAAAAAAATCATTTAAACCCTTTGTCCTGCAGGTGTGGGAACGCAACCGTCGACCCCGTCTCCATGAACCGGCTCAGCTACATAAGGAATCGGTGCCGGCAAGTGGTGGGGAGGGAAGAAAATCTCTCAGAGGGTGAAAATGCCCGTGGGTCGTCTTTTTGGGGGGGCGGGGGAAGGCAAAGGCAAGAGGGGCGTCTTGAGTGCCGTTTGGGGTTTCCCTTGGAAAGCCACAGCCCGACTTTCAGGCTTCCGATTATCTCCTGGGTTTGGGGGAGCGCCTGTATAAACCTTGTCAAATCTCTCCTCCTTCCAGGAATGGGCTGGGTGCCATCAAAGAGGGGGAACCCCACTTCGTGGTCGTCCACTGCACGGGCTACATCAAAGCTTGGCCACCGGCAGGTAACTCACCTGGGCCCTTTTTTCCTCCCCACCTTGACAGTCGTGCCACCATCCAGCTGCCTGGCTCCCCCCCCCTCTGCAATTATTTAAAAAAAAAAAAAACTACCACGGAGGAGCTGACAAACCCTAAACCGTTTGTCTTCCGGAAGCCAGTTGGCTTGAATCAGTGCTGAATTCAAATCCTCCTTTCCCAGGAGTTTCTCTGCCCGACGACGAACCGGATTCTGGGCAGGGCAGCAAATTCTGCCTGGTGGCCATCGGCAGGTTGCAGGTAGGCCAGAGACGTGTGGGGCTGCGCGGGGCTCGTTCCCCTCCCCAAACTCTCGGAAGCCCCTCGGGATAATCGGTCGCCCGGAGGGTAAAGCAGCCCCTGAGTTCACGGGGGGTTTCTCCCCACCCGCCCTTCCTTCCTAGGTCACCAGCTCCCCCAGCTGCGCGGACATGAACACGGTATGTCAGCCCACCGAGTTCATCTCCCGCCACAACACGGACGGGCTCTTCACCTTCGTGGACCACCGCTGCATGGCCACAGTGGGCTACAAGCCCCAGGTAGGGTCCCAGAGGCTGGGGGAGGGGCTTTTCCGTAAAGATGGGGGCTTCTGACTTGGACCAGAACGGAGGAAGCCCAGGTTTGGAAGGAAAGGACGTCGGAGGGTGGTGGAAGCAGCCCCAGAAGTGCCTGAGGGGGTGCGGGGGGGAGGCTTGAAGGGGAGATCAAGTTTAATTTCATCCAAGGAAGACTGGAAAAACGATTACGTACCAGTTAAGAAGAAGCTTTTTTCTGGGGTGTGTGTGTGTGTGTGACAGACCCATAAGTGTCTTGGTGTCGTCTTTCTCAGTGTGTTTGGTCACTGCTGGGTCCAGAATACTCTGAAAATATATATTTTTTTAATTGGGCACTTTAAAATGGTTGTGCTTCAACCCCCAGAATTCCCCAGGCAGGATGGGGGGGAGGGGAGGTGTGTGCGTGCGTCCATTGGGATCAGAGCCCCTCCCCGAGCAACCGATGCCTGACTAAGAGGAGGGGGCGAATGGCTGCGGAGACCCCCAGGGCTTGGTCCCCTCTTTCCCCAGTCAGAAATCTGAGCCGCCTCCTCTGCGGAGACTTTTAAGTGGCCTTTCTCCAACTCCAGGGAAAATTCTCTGCCATGGGTGGCTACACAGCTCCCCCCTCCCCAAAGGAGGGAGGGAGGGGCTGCTTTACCCAGGGTGCCTCTCTCTCTCTCTCCTCCACGCTAGGAACTCCTGGGGAAGGACGTGGTCGAGTTCTGCCATCCCGAAGACCAGCAGCTGTTAAGGGACAGCTTCCAGCAGGTAAGCCCACCGCAGGGCAGCTCGGCGTCCGTCGGTCCTCAGCTGAGCTGGGGTGGCCTAATGGGGCTTGCAAAGAGAGAGTAGGGGGCTTGCGAAGGGTCCATAACACGGCATTCCACCCCATAACCATCATCATCCCCTCCGGCCCTCCAGGCACCTGTGGAAAGGTGGGCCCAGGAGCCTCCAAGTCTCCAAACTTGGCCCCCTTTTCAGACTGGTGGACCTCCACTCCCAGAATTCCTGGCTGAGGAATTCTGGGAGTTGAAGTCAACAACTCCCCATCCCCAACTTTGGGTGCCAGCAGACGGGCGCATTGGCCCTTTCCGAAGGCCGGGGTGACCCCCTCGGTGGCTTTGTGGGTCAGCCCCAGACCCCCCGGAGGCGCCTGACAGGCTCCCACCCCTTCTTCCAGGTAGTGAAGTTAAAGGGCCAGGTGCTGTCCGTCATGTTCCGTTTCCGATCCAAGAATCGCGAATGGCTCTGGATGCGGACTAGCTCCTTCACTTTCCAGAACCCCTACTCCGACGAGATCGAGTATATCATCTGCACCAACACCAACGTGAAGTACGTACTCGGGACGCCTCCCCCCCCGGCCCCTGCCCCCACCTTCCCCCTCCAGGAGGAGGAGGAGGGGGGCTTTGAGCGCCTGCTCCCCCCAGCCCCTCCAGCACAACGGCCCCCCCAGCTGCCATCCAATCCAAAAGGGGGGAGGGAAACTTGAGGTCCGCGGAGGTTCCGCTTTGCTTCTTTGCGATTGGCCGGCGGGTGGGACTTTCTCACGGGGAGGGGGATTCCGCCAGCAGGAGGGGCCCCTCCGCCTCCCGTCATCATGGCTGGTGTAGAGAGAGCCGGGCGGGTTAACTGTCGCGATCTCTGGGAAACCGACCATCTCCATCCCCATCTCCATTGTTTAGCTTCAGGGGTGGGGCAGGGAAAAGCCGCTGCACCCGAACCAAGGGAAGCTGGGGGGGGGAGGGGTCTGCAGACCAGCCAATGGGGGGGCACATAATAGAGCCCCCTCCCCAAGGCTGGGGTTGCCTGGAGGTCTTCCTGGAAAGGCAGACGAAGCAGCATCTCGGAGGGCGCAGAGGGGAAGGCCTGACCTGCTCCGCTTTGCCAAGCTGGGTCAGCTGAGGGGTTTGACTCCTGGGTGCAAAGGCTCCGTCCCTCCTTCGTTGTTTTTTTTTGGGGGGGGGGGCTTTGTCCCCGAAGGGGCTGCCCGCTTGCCCACCTGCCTCACGGTTTTCCTTCCCCGTCCCTGCAGAAATGCCAGCCAGGACCCACGTCCTGCCAGCTCCAACTCGATGCAGAGACCCCAGCTAGGCCCCGGTGTCAGCCTGCCTTTGGAGATGGGCCCAGGGCACCTGGCCGCCAGGTAAGAGCCGTGGGCCTGCTTGGAGGGCTGGGGGGGGGTCCCTGGCTTCTCTCTGCACCCCCCCACCCCGGGGCTGTTCCCTGATGGGAGTCTCTGCCTTTTAGAGTGCAGCCAGCCCAGCCAGCGGAGCTGGACGTGGTTCCCGGGAGAGAGAGCTTAGCCAGCTATGAGCACCCCCAGGTAAGCGGACGGGGGTTGGGGGGGCCGGCGCTGGGGGTGGGGGCAGGAAGCGCGGACGGCAGGTAAGCCTCACCCTCCCGTCTCTTTCTCTCCAGGCTGCCCTTCAGGCCGTGAGCACCGCTGGTGCCGAGCACAGCAAGCCCGCGGAGAAGGCCGAGGCCCTCTTTGGCCAGGAGCGAGACCCCCGCTTCAGCGAGATCTACAGCGGCATCAGCCCAGGTGTGGGGCGGAGGGGAAAGGCCCCTTCCCCACGGTCTCCCTTCCGCGGGGAGGTGTCCCAAACGCGCCTCTCTCCAACGTCCCCCTTGGGGGTCTCTCTTGCAGACCCGAGGAAGCCCATTTCGGGCAACTCGGTGCCCGCCAGCCACCCCCTCTTCGCCCCAGGGAACAGCTACGGGGCTTCCCGCCCGGCTGAGGGCTTCCGGTAAGGCTCCTTCCTTCGACAAAGCCGCTGCTGCACCCCTCCATTCCCCCGAGGGGCTGAGAATTTGGGGGTGGGTGAAGAAGGGGGTTTCCCACTCAGCGGTTGTGGCGTTCGGATCTCCCAGGCAGGGCCTTCCTTCCGCTCTGCTCTTCCCACAGCAGCAGCAGCAGCAGCAGCAGCAACAGCAGCCTGGCGCCCTCCGTCCTGCCGCCTGGCCGGGCCCATTCGACCTCCTCAGCTGGGCCCATCCTGGCCCACCTCTCCCGCCACCCCAGCCCCAGTCAGATCTCCAGAGGCGCCTGGGCTACGGGATCGCGCCCACCCTTCACAGCCCAAGTAATCCTGCCTTCCTTTGGCCGTTCTTTCTTCCTCTACGCGGGCCGGGGGTCAAGGCGGAGAATGCCAAGGCCTGCCTCTTCACCTGCTGACCGGTGGCCTCCCTCGTCGGGGGGGGGGGTTGGGGAGCCCCAAAGCTTCCCTGGGGGCTTTCTCCGGAGGGTGGGCCTTTCCGGGGCTTTCACCGCTTTCTTTCTGTTCTTTGCCTTCTCCTCCAGCCAGCGGCTTCCCAGCCGGTGAAGACTCGGCCTCCCGCCTTTGCCATGGGCAGCTTCCAAGCCACGCCGTCCTCCTTCAGCCCCATGCCAAATCCCGGTTCCGCAGCCTCCCCAGCCGGGGCTCCCTACCCAAACCTCGCCGGTCGGAACGCCCCTTTCGGTAAGTCTCTGCGCCGTCCTTGGAGCCCCCAGCAGGCTTGGCCTCCTTGTAAACGGTGACGCCTTTGCAGTCAAATCGTTCTTAAATGAGCTGCTTTGGGGAGCGGGGGAAGGGCCCCAGAGGCCATTTAGCTGTGCCTTCGTCTCTCATGGGGTCTCTCCTTCCCTGCCTGTCAGCCTTTCCAGGCACACCAGGCAGCAAACGGACCGGATGAGCTGATTCCCTTTTATAGTTTCGCTACACGAACAGAATCTTGCAAGCCGGAAAGTCCAAATTTCACCCCGTCTCTTTTACAGCCTGAGAAACTGGGGTGGTGGGGTGGGGGTTGTCCCTCCCCCCCCGCGAAGCCCCTTTCGCTGCCCATGGTGCAGTGGTGGGCTCTCTTCTCTAAACGTTCCCCGGGCGACACTTCCTTGCCTCCCGAGGCCCGTCCTTCTCCCTGACCGCTATCCTTCCTCAGCTGCTGGAGAGAGCGGGCAGAATCCGGCCCCGTTCCAGGCACGGACGGCAGAAGGAGTCGGCGTGTGGCCGCAGTGGCAGAGCTCAGGCGAGTCCCACGTCCAGCAGCAGTCGGCCCAGCCGGAGGTCTTCCCGGTGAGTCAGTCTGGCCGGCCATAAGGAGCAGCCAAGGGGGGAGTGGAAGGATCGTGCCGGAAGTCCTTGACTTAGGACCATCGGTTTTTAGCAACGGCTCGAAATCAAGATGGCCTCAGAAGAAGGGACGATGGTTACAATGGGGACACACACACCCACACACACCCAGGGTCACAAGATCACAATTCAAGGTCACAGTCATGAAGGCTGCAGTGTCTTGCAGCAGAGCTGGCTGGAGAATTCTGGGAGTTGGAAGTCCACAAGTCTTCAAGGGGCCAAGTTTGGGGACCCCTGTTTTGCTTAACAACCACCGTAAAACTGGGTCTGATGACTTGCTTTAAAGACTGCACCACTTAGCATCCAACATTCTGGCCCCAGTTGTGGTCGTAAGTCGAGCAGATTAGAAAACCGCAGATCCTGGTCTCCTCGTCTCTTCACCGGTTACCCCAGTTTAATCGCAGGTCTTATTTTATTCCGGATTATGCTTATTATGGGTTTTTTCCACCCCCCCTTTTTTTTTTCCGGCTTTCTAGGATATGCTGTCTATGCTGGGGGAACAAGGAACCAACTACAGCAGTGAAGAATTTCCTGAACTGAACATGTTTCCGCCCTTTTCGGAGTAAGCGAGGGAGACGGCCTGCCCTGGATGTGACTTTATTCCGTGTAGCAGCGTGCAGAGGGAGGTCTCTTCTTCGCGGCCCCTGACCCTTTGCAAAGCACCCCCAAGTCTTCCTGTGGAGGGGGGGGAAGAGAAGCCTCGTGTGTGGGGGGGAGTCACGAACACTGGCAGGCTGAGAGGAGGCTGAATCTCCCCTTCAAATCTCTGGGGCTGCCCAGGAAGACCCCTCCCTCTCTGCCAGCCCACGACGGACTTACTTGGATTTTGGAGACCCTCCGAGACGTATTTGGGCAAGGAAAGAACTGATGGGATGGGGTTTTTTCCACCCCCCCTCAACATCCAAAGATGCTTGGGAAGGCAAATGGTCAGCAAGGGTTCCCCCCCCCTGCCCAGTCATTGTTTTTAATTCTACGACGTAATCTTTTATACCTACCTTGTATTCTCGTTTATACACGTTGAGGGAGCCGAATTTTGTCGAGAGGCTCCGGCTTCGTAGGCCGGTTTTGTGACTTGTGAACCGGTGTTTCTTCCCTGGCACGCTCGCACACGCGTGTCTCTCTTAATCTCTCTCACAAGCAGTATTAATGAAATGCTGGGGTCGGGGGGGGGGCTGACATGCTCCCCCACCCCCTTTGCCTCCTCATCCGGTCCCTTGGTTGGTTAGCTTGTCTTTCCACACCTCTTTCGGGGCCACGTTGTGCTCTGCGCTTGGAGGCTGTGCTGGCACAATCTTCTTCGTGAAAATCCCCCTTTTTAAGGGGGTGCGATTGACAATCATGGTGGACTGCCAGGTCAAAAACGGTCCCTGTTTTAAAATAATGTTTAAGAGCCCAGATTCGGGGAGGGGCTGTCCCATTCTCGGAAAATAGGGAAAGGATGCTGGTTTAATCCTGGAGGGGATCAAGGGAAGCTGGTTGGCACCTTTTCAACGCCGGTGCCATCGGGACCCGGCTGGTGGTTCTCCGACCTGGGCGATTTGCGTGGGTCGGGGTGCTTTCCGGCGCCCCCTCCCCAATCTGTGTGAAGCCCCTTTCCTCTTTTCTTGTATGCGCTTCCCCACGGGGACACCTGAAAGCCATAAAAATTGCACAAAGAGCACACGGCGTTTTGTCTTCCTTGAGTTGGCCAAGCTTCCTTTCACCGTCGGAAGCGAAAGGCACAGATTGGTCCCTGAATCAGGTTTCCCAGCCAATGTCGTGCAGGTTTGTTTTATTTTTTCATTCCCGAGAAAAGAATATTTTCCTCCTCCCTTCTTTGAAAGCTTGTCCATTTCTCTTCACCTCCATACACCCGGGGAGCGGGAAGGAAGCGAGTTCTTGAAATGGGGCGCAAGGAGGAACTGGGTGGCTCTTTCCAGGAAGTCCGGGTGGAAGGGGATCTGGATTAAAAGAGAAGAAGAAACAAGTTCCCCCTTCTAGTTCCATCCACTGGCAGTTAACACGGGACCTAAATTGGCCCCTCTCCTGCCCCTAACAATATGGTAGAGTGCTGCTGGATAGAGAGGATTGACCAGCCTAGCAGGGCTAGCTGAGGACGTCTTCTCCAGCTGTCTCTTTGCAATTTTCTAAGAATCGCTTTGGTGGACGGAAGTCTTTGTCCCAGAACTGCATGACTCAGTCACGTGTTTTTATTTTATTTTATTTTTTCTTCCTCGTCATGTTTTTTTCCTTTTCAAAAACATTTTTGGTTGCCTTAGTCATGGTAGGGAAAAACAGCTCAGGATCCCGGGTCACCTTGGAAGACAACAAGTCTTAAAAAGCCCTCTCCTTTTTGTACCTTCACATTCCAGGTTGCTCCAATACAGCAGTACAAATTTGTAAGTTGCTTTTCGTGCCAAAGGATTTAACATGGCTGCTTGTAGGATGGAAGTGTCTGCGAGTGGCTAAAATTGTTCCAGATTTCTCTCCGAGATTGGAGAAGTTTCCATCTCAGATCTTGTGGGAGGTTTACTTAGGACAAAACCTGCTGAGATTTGACTGGGACAAAATGACTTTTTAATTGGAGTTACAGATATCCAGAAAGAGCTGAATGATTTTTTAAATCCACAAACCAGACTCATCAGGGCTCCCATCATCAGTTAGAAGTCAAGAACATTTATTTTCTTGTTCTTGAATGTCATTGTTTTATTTCTTAACCTCTAGACCCTAAATCCTGATCAAGACAGATAAGACAAACAGCCATGCAGGGAAAGGCCAACAAGCTACATCATGCCTTCTGTCAAAGCATTGACAAGGATGCCTAAATCGGTATAACACAACTATGCTTGGCCCCTGCCTTGTGGTTTGCAGGGTTGGTTCAAGGTCCTCTTGGCAAATGAAAGCTGGGCCCTGAATCGCTTCTGCATTTTGCCCTCCACCTGGCGTGTCAAGCCGCCAATTCATGCTCGCCCCATCACATGAGTTCTTAAAATGGCACGAGAGAACAAACCGCAACCAACTTCTTGACCTGGCAAGAAATGAAACCGCTTGCGGTCCCAAGGACGGATGGTGTCGGGAGTTGTGAGAAAAATATGAGAAATACCCATTTCTGCAAGCGAAACTGAACAGAACTCTCTTGTCCTTCCAATTCTCAGACCTTGAGATGGCTAGATTAATTTGATTCAAAACCTGGGACAACGGAGGAGGAAAAAAAAACCAGCCATTTCTGGGCTCCATAAATAAAAACCTGCAGAGAAAATCTTGGTTTTTATTTAGTGCCCTGAAAAAGGTGATTGATTGAGATTGGGGCATGGACCAGAAGGGGAAAGAGAGTTTTCCTGACAGTTTGTAGATCAAGAAGGAAATACTGGATCCTCCCGTGGAATAATGAGGAAATTATTGAGATCTGATCAGCCTTGAAGCGTCTTGCATGGGAACAGACGTTCAAAAGTACGGCGAGCTTTAGAAGAGAAAGAAAAATCTTTCCAATTTGGGGGAGAAGTGGCTTGCTTTCTCCACTCCCCCCTCCTTACTCCAAAAAATTGTCCCTAAATCAGGATTTGTTAGCTTGGGGTAGGCGCGTAAAGCATCTGAACCGTAAAAGCTGTGATTCAAAAATCCTGCAACTTTGCAAGAAGATCTTGCAAGCTTGGGAAAAGGGCTTTATTTTTATTTTTTTTAAATGCCTTCATTCTTTTACTTGTTCACATCCTCTTTCCGTGTTCTTTATAATGGCTCCCACAAATTGCTTTGTAATGAGGAAGCAACCGACCAAATCTCTTGAGTTTGCTGGTTTCCTTTCTGCGCATCAAAATCCCCCGATGTGATTTTTAGCCGGGGGATCATGTGAGGCAGCTGAGCCCTCCTTCCCCAAAACCCCTCTTCCCCGTGCCCCGGTTCCCGCACAGGATGTCTGCCTTGCTCACCCGGCCGACTGGAGCATGAGTTACATGAGATCAGTGCTGCAGATTTTCCATTGTCAACTATTCCAACCCCCCCACCCCCAAGCTGTCTCACCATAAAAACAAACCAGGCGGCCGAGGTTCTTCCTATTTGGAGTGGCCGCCCCAGAGAGATCATCTTGCACCAGAGCTGGCCTTTGACTCTCATTTCTGCTGAGGAAACAGCGATTTCTGGGACAGGTAAGCCAGGGAGCATGGATTCCAGGTATGGGGGGGGGTGTTTCTCCAAGGTGGGGGAGTGAGCAGACTTCCTTGCAGCCCTTTCACAAGGCAAGCCAGATCCCCCTCCTCAAGGGAGCTGGGAAGAGGGATCCAGTGCTCTCTCTCAGCCTGATGGGAATCCTCGCGGGATCAAGCACAAAGTCATCCGCTTCCCCCAGCCCCCCAAGAAGCCGGTGTCGAGTCCAGCTGCCAAAGTTGCAGGACGACGGGGAAAAAGAGGTGTAAATCAAAAGTTCAAAGGCCCTAAGGTTGCATCCTTTGTCTGATGCCCCTGGAGAAGAGTTTCCCAACTCTTGATTTATCTCGGATTGCATCCAGAGGCCTGCGGATCTCTATCCTGTTTTGCCGTCGTTGGAGTTTTCATGCTTTTAGGGGAAGGGAGAAAAAAAAAAAAAAACTTTCACGTGACACTGGGAAAACAGTTTTCCACCCTTAAAAGGAAGAGTGAGGCGGGAGGAGCTATTTAATGTTTAAGTCCGAAAACAAGCCGCCTTGTCCTCTGTACACCAGATAAATTGGGAGGAAACAGCTTCCTCCTTACTTCTAATTTGAGGTTTTAAGTTTCTCTCCGGCTGCCTGGGCAGACGGACGGACGTCTGTTCTGATGAAAATGGCGAAGTATCTCCATAACAGAAACCAGCTGTGGGTTTCCTTTTGGAAGAAAGAAGCGGGAGGGGGAGCGAAGACTGGCGGGGAGGGGAAATTTCAAATGGGAACCGTAATCCTTGGGGCTTGTCCAATAAACCCTTTTGGGCACAATCTCTGAACTTTCCCGTGGTGTGTGTGTGTGTGTGTGTGTGTGTGTGTGTGTGTGTCCTGTTTGATCCCCCCAGAATGCGGTCACTCGTCCTTCTGTTAGCCACAGTGCTGCCTGTGGCAAACGTGGTGGCCATGGAGTCTTCGCTGGACCAAATGCTGGACTCTCAGTGGGAGCTTTGGAAGAAAATTCACCGGAAGGATTATAACGGCAAGGTAAGGACCCGGAAGCTGCCAGGCGTGAAGTCCGATTGTGCCAAATTCAGCCCTGCTGTGCCCACGGCTTCTTTGTGCCACCTAAAACAGCCAGCTGAGGGCAGCCTTCACAGATGAGATGAACAGACAAGTAGGCAGGCTTAAATTTATAAGCCAAGCCTAATTCAAGATGGTGAGGACTAGACTCTTAGTTCCCTTTTAGACTAAAGGCTGTAATGCAAGCTGTGTACACGCACTGCGGGCCAAAAATCCGGGTAAAACTTTTAGCATCTTCTTGCTGGGCTGGGAAAGATCCTGTCTGAAATCTCAGGGGATCCCATGTGAGTAAGAAATCTGATTTATAGACCTGTCCGGGGAAGGAAAACAGAACTCTTCTACAAAGTCTTACCCAATTCTACCTCCAGGGGTGCCGTAGATAAAATCTGTTCCCAGCCTTGTATTTCTGCCTCTAAAAAGTGTTGCACAAATTCTCGAGAAAGCAAAATAAAATGTAGGGATTTCATCTTCATGTTTAAACAAGTGACTAGCACTTTGGGGCACAGAAGTGCTCCCTGTGTAACATTCAGGAATCCAGACAAAAACAAAAACAAAACAATTTTGCCACGTGGATGTCGGCTGTGTCTTTTGAGTCTAACTTTTGCCTGGGCATCTTAACAGATGGAAGAAATTCCCCGAAGGGTCATATGGGAGAAAAACCTGAAATACATCAACACCCATAATTTGGAATTCTCCCTGGGAAGACACACGTTTGAACTGGCCATGAACCACCTGGGGGATATGGTAAGACGCGACGGTTCCTCTAATAATCAAAATGGGAAGCTTGCTCAATGATAATGATGCTGTGGGTTTAAAATTACGCCTTTGTGCGAGCTGAAAAAACTAATTTTCATTGCACTTTTCCTCTCCACGCTAAAAGAAACCAGGCTGACAGACAGAAATTACTCCCATCTTCTCTGGGCGAATAATCTCACGGTTCAAACCGAAAGCGAGAATTGCTGTGCAATTCGTTGACGTGGAAAATCCACAGAATTTCCCTATTTGCTGGCTGGGATGCCTGAGCTGATATTGAAGGAAACGCTTCTCTTTTTCCCAACCTGCGCTTGTTCTAATTTGGCATCGATGCCCAAGCTGTGACTCACATGACAACGTTCAAACTATATTTTCCATTTGGGGCATGTAATTATATTCTCTTATAAGTTTTGGCCCCTTCGTTTGCATTTTCTCTTTCTCTCTCAGAAAGTGTGCCGCTTGGCACATCTCCTTAATCTTCCAACTAGAGAAAATGCATCAGTAGAGTTGAAAAGGACCTTGGGGATCTAGTCCAATTAAAGAGTCAGACCTTTGCGTTGTTTTAAGAATTCAGGTGTGGGCGGAGTTGTCTTCTCTGGTGGCCCTTTCTGTCTGGAGCCTTTCCCGTCGGCTGGGGATGATGGGATCGATGGAGGCTTAGGGAACAATTTGGAGAAGGTCGTTTTGGTGGTCTCAGGTGTAAAAGCCCTCATGACCTGGACAGCTTTTTCAGAGGAGATCAGCATCCCGTGTTCGGCTCAACCATCTTCCCCTTCTTCCTCTTCCTCTCTTTCCTGTCTGCAGACCAGTGAGGAGGTCGTTCAGAAGATGATGGGGCTTAAAGTCCCTCCCTCTCGTACCCAAAACAACGAGACTCTTTACGTTCCTGATTGGGAGAAAAGAGTTCCAGATTCTATCGATTACCGGAAAAAGGGCTACGTAACCCCAGTCAAAAACCAGGTAATGCCCCGCTGGTCGTTTTCGTGGGCTGAGGCTTGTCTGATGGAGCTCCCATTCCATCTCTGTCAAGATCTTCCCTTGGTTGGTCCATTCTGAGATATTTAAAATTATTTATTCCTAGAGGTTGAAAGAATAACCTTTCACCAGCCTCTCCCAGAGGTTCTCTGCTTTTTGCTTGGCTGCGGACCAGTAATCCGGGGGTCCTTGTGGAAAAAAAATAAAATAAAACCAACCTGATACATACAGACACACACAGCCGTGTCAACATGCAGGGTTTATTCCTCCTGTTTGGCAACAGGGCCAGTGCGGGTCTTGCTGGGCGTTTAGTTCGGTGGGCGCCCTGGAGGGGCAGCTGAAGAAGAAGACGGGCAAAGTGCTTAATCTCAGCCCCCAAAATCTCGTGGACTGCGTCACCAGCAACAGCGGCTGCGGTGGGGGCTACATGACCAACGCCTTTGAGTACGTGAAGGATAACCGGGGAATCGATTCGGACGTCTCTTATCCCTACATCGGCCAGGTAGGGGCCTGCCTCCTTTTTCAACCAGCATCGCCATTCAGATGGCCTCTCGGCTCTTTGGTCTTCTGGAAAGGGGAGGATTTGAGGAACTGGGCAGAGTTTGGAGGCTGCCGCTTGGAGAGGGAACCTGCCAACGGCAGGAGACCTGAAGCGATGGACTCCGATGTGGAAATCCTCCCTCTTTCCTTCTCCGTAGGATGAAAGCTGCATGTATAATCCCACTGGTAAGGCTGCCAAGTGCCGTGGCTTCAGAGAGATCCCGGAGGGCAACGAGAGGGCTTTGAAAAGGGCCGTAGCCCGGATCGGCCCTGTTTCGGTGGGCATCGATGCCAGCTTGTCTTCCTTCCAGTTCTACAGCCGAGGTGAGTCAGGAAAAGAAGCCAGTTGTCCAGACTGGGGTGAGACGGGGGGGAGCCATCCTGCCCACCTGGGGCACAGGAAGCCCCCTTGGGGTCTCTTTCTCTTGAATCCGTGGGGTGTTTTCCATAGATTGGACTCCCGAAACCTTCCCCAACCTTCTGTGGGCTTTAATTCACTGCTGTTAGAGAAATGGACCTTTTCACTCATCCTGAGACATCGAGAGAAACCTTATCTCCCTAGCCCCAAAGATGCTCAGGATCTGGCAATAAAAAGGAAGTTGGTTTCTCCAAAATTGAAGGCTTCTCCTTCTGATTTTCTCAGGGGTGTATTACGACGAAAACTGCAATGCCGGTAACATCAACCACGCTGTCCTGGCAGTGGGTTACGGGAGCCAAAAGGGCACCAAGCATTGGATCGTGAAAAACAGGTACTGCTCAATTTACCTCCCATTTTATCTGATTAAATACCTTCTGGGGCACCAAACTCTGTATTTTGGTGTAGGTAACCGCCGAAAAACCCTAATGCAACTTACGTTATACGTACAAATAATAATAATAATAATAATAATAACCTCCCCCAAATCAAGGAAGAAAAATGTACTGAGAAAACTATCTTTAATCACAAATAAAAACTTCATAATCCAAATGTCACTTAACCACTACAAAGTTGGATGACCAAACAGAAAAGCTGGTGGAGATTTTGAAGTCTAATTTTTATTTTATTTTTTCCCATCACAGTTGGGGGGAAGAGTGGGGTGACAAAGGCTACGTCTACATGGCCAGGAATATGGACAATGCCTGTGGAATTGCCAACTTAGCCAGCTTCCCAAAGATGTGAGCGATGGTGGCCAAACCTGATGGCAGATCCTGGTCCTTCCTTGGCCGAGGGCTGGATTCCTGAGACAATGAGAGGGACCATCGATACACAAAGGATCCATTTGGCTTCGTAAGCAGTGCTGAGAGAGTGTATTAAAAAGATCTAACCTTCCAGTTTTTTAAAAATAAATTGTTGCTGCCTTTTTTTTCTTTGCAAAAGCTAGAGAGCTGTCTTCCTAAGAGACCATAACTTTCAAATAGAAAAATCCAGTTGGAAAACCTTGGTCTTGAAGTATTTTCTTGGCTTCGGAAGTAAGAACTGCTAAAAAAAATATATAGTAAAAATCATAATCATTTTATAAGGGGTGTGCGTGCAGAACTGGGGTATCGAATGCCACTGAATTCCTGGATCTCTGCTAGAGGCTGGGGTATCTGCAAAGAAAACCAATGTTGGGATCACATTCCTATTAGCATGGAAAGAGGAAGCCTGTTTCTCAAACAGGATTTGGAAGTTGTGACCCGGAGAAGGAAAAATTGACGCCTAAGAAACAAGGGCTTTTACACACCCGCCTCCAACGGTGCAAACCAGCATTATTCTTGCAAGCATGCAAATGAGGAAATGGACACGTGAATTCCTCCCACCCTCCAACCAGAAAAAAAATGAAAATCTACCCAGGTGTTAAAAAACAAAACAAAGCATTTGTGTGTGATGGTTCACTAAAATAAGATATTTATGGTTACGCGTGGCTTTCGCTCCCGGCCTCCAAATCCCTACATGATTAATAAATACACCTGGTCCAAGGAGGATATTCTTAAATGGTGCGTTTATTTGCCCATCCTGACAAGCTGTTCTCTGGAAGAAAACATGGTCCCCCCCTTGGTTTGGGGTTTTGCAGCTGGAGGGAGGATCCGGTTGCAAATTCTGTTCCTCCTTTCTGTTCCTTTTGGTAGTTACCAGCTGCATCTCTCTTTGAAGAAAGGAAAGTTTGTGCATTTTCACTCGCACCCCTTTGTACACAAAGGCCTCTGGGGTAAATCGTGACCTCTGGGGTCTCCTTGCCTGACCTAGCAATGAGTCTCTTTGACCCAAGAGTGCGACGAAGGTTGTAGCTTTCGTAGCTCCTGTTTCAACCGTGCGGAAAGCAAGCGGAGCTTGACAAACCCTTCTCCTGACCTCACAACAGCAGTTGGCTTCAAGCTTCTGGCTTCTGGAGTGGGCCGCACTGTCACACCCCAGCAACTAAGGCTCAATTGCATCTGGGCTCAGGTTGTTCATGAACTCTTCAGGGCAGTTGACCCAATAAATCATGATCGGTTAGGTTCACCCACACACACACACACCCCACACAGAGGTAAACGGTGACTTACAAACATGGGATCTGAGTCCAGAAAGTAATCAAAGAAAGAATATCCAAGATAATTGACGTGGAAGGGACCTTGGAGGTCTTCTAGTCCAACCCTTGCTCAAGCACAGGAAACCCTACACCATTTCAGACAAATGGTTGTCCAGTCTCATTTTAAAAACCTCCAGTGTAGGAGCACCCACAACTTCTTGAAGCAAGCAAGCAATTGTTCTCACTGGCAGGAAATTTCTCCTTAATTCTAAGTTGCTTGATAAGTTTCCATCTTGTCCTGCCTTTAGGTGCTTTGGGGAACAGGGGGACCCCTTCTTCTTTGGGGCATCCCCTCAGATATTGGAACAGGGCTATCATGTCACCCTTAGCCCTTCTTTTCATGACCTAGACATCCCCAGTTCTTGCCACCCTTCTTCCTACATTTTAACCTCCAGTCCCCTAGCTTTAGGGCTAACTGGGATGGGCCTGTTCTAAGTTAAAGTCCACACATCTTACCAAGATAACACGCCTCAGGGAACATTGGGTGTGTTCATGTTTGCCCATGGGCAGCCAGGCTTTCAACATGAAATCGACCCCCTCTGTGCAAACCTGTCATCTTGATCTTTCTTGGCAAAATCTCAACCTCACCCGTGTCTTTCGTCCAAACTTCATCCCCTTAAAGGATGAGCAAAAAAAGAAAAAAGAAAAGAAAACCCTGGTAAAACCCAGCAAGCAAAAAAGAGAGAAGACTCAGATCGTTTCTGGTTTGACTGAAAGTGAAAATCACAGCCCATTTCCTTGTTGGGAGCAGGCTCATGTGACAAGGGTAATAAATTGATAGTCTCCTGTCGGCACCAGCATTGGACTGCTGCTACTTCGGTAAGCGGCTGTGTTCGGCTACGGACTTAGCCAACAATTGGCAGAAAAGAGAAAACTTTTCCCTGGGGAGTGAGGGGTCAGACACTGGGCGACTACAGTTTGGAAACATCTGCCAGCTGAAAAATGTTCAGGTAGGTAGAAGGCCATCATCTTCTTCCTTGCAACACTTTCTTTGAGAAAGTTTGTTTTTCCGCCAAAGGAGATTTGCAAGAATTGTTAACTTTAAGGTTTGAATCTCTGGATAACACTGGGTATCTTTTCATCGGGGGTCCATATTAACAAGTAAGGAAACAAGGAATTTGCTACCAAGCCTGGATCTAACAGGAACTTACAGCCAAGATACTTTGTGACGGATTAATTACTTTTATGGTGAACGATTCTTCCTGGTTTGAGTGTATTTCTTTTAGCAAAAATTAAATAGGAGCTGGGTCTTAATTCGCAAAGATGTGTTAGGTTTAAGAAATCTTCTTGATTCTTTGGATGTTTTCCAAGCAGCCTAATTCAAAGACGATATTCTCCAATTTCACATAAGACTTGACAGAGATGTGGTGGATAAGAAACTTTTCACATCATTAAAATATTTATTTGGGATACAACCTCTCCACCTTCCAGTGAGCGTTCGACTTACTGCTTGCTTTAATTTTGGAAGCTTCCTGGAGTCACTGTGAGTGAGTTGGGAGGCCATATAAATTTTCTTAACAAATAAATTAAATAGTGCTTTATCTTCCTTGCATTGTGAGCAAACTCAGTGATGTGATTAAAAGTGTGGTAATATTTTGCCTGGTGGACTTCACTATTTCTTTGTAAGAAGCAAAGCGAGATTCCTTTGAGGGTATCCTGCATTTGTTAAAGTGTACTTAGGAGTAGATTTATCCAAGTGATTTGATCACAACAGACATTAGACCTCGTAGCTCCAAGATTGTACAAACTTCTGACTGAATGCCATTGCTGCATTGTGCAAAGAAATGTTCTTACAAGCATAGATAATCAGCACTTCAACGATATAAATGGGCTTCCTTCTTGACTTACTAGTAAAAAAGAGAGTTAAACAATCATTCCTCTGGCATGTTCTGACTTGAAGAAATCCAGAGTGATCACAAACAGTGATGGATCATTGTTAGGATTCATAGGAGCCATGGACATCTTGTGGTGGTTGCAAGGCAGTCTTCTCTCAAGCTTATGTTCCAAATTTGAGTGTTTCTCTTAGTTTATAATCCAATATCTCAACAGGATGGAGATACACGTTTGGCTGATGGCCTTTTGTGTTATTGTTGCGTCGGCACCCCAGTGGCGCGGGGATCCCACGCTGAACAAGCACTGGGAATTATGGAAGAAGAAATACGGCAAAGAGTACCAAAATAAGGTAAGAGCACTCAGCAGTAAGCCCTGCAGACAAAAATAAGAAGTACACAATTCTTTTTAAAAGCAAGGTCTTCTTGTCAGCTAATTGTGACTTCTGCTTTAATTCTCAGAATCAGGAAGAGCTGCGCCGAATGACTTGGGAAAAAAACGTACAATTTATCGCACTGCACAATCTCGAATATTCGCTGGGCCTGCATTCTTATGAACTTGGCATGAATAACTTGGGAGATATGGTTAGCCATGTTGATTTAGTTAATGGATATTTAAATAGCTTGGTAACTACGCCTATTAGATGCTGGGCAAGACTAAATGATATTGCCACTAAACGGTGAAGATTAAAGAATACAGCAGGTTGAATTATTTTAAGGAGCAGGAGGTTGGTCTAGAAGACCTCCAAGACCTCCTTTTATTCTGTTATTCTGCTAATTCTCCTGTTCTATTATTCTGTTATTCCGCTCTTCTTTCATTCCTTCTTTTGGCTAAATTAATGCATGTATTTCTGATCTGTCCACAGACCAGTGAGGAAGTGTCTTTGGTCCGGACCGGCCTGAAGATCCCATCCTGGTGGACCCAAAATTCCACGTCGCACAAATCCAACGTAGGCATCGGTATTCCTGAGTCCATAGACTGGAGGGACAAAGGATGCGTCACGAATGTTAAAGACCAGGTGAGAAGGACTGTTAAGCATCCGTCGGTCTGTTCAGGATATTTTTCTGCAACTGATTTTGACCCCCTCTGTCTTTCAGTATTCGTGTGGTGCTTGCTGGGCCTTCAGTGCTGTTGGGGCCCTGGAAGCTCAGTTAAAACTCAAGACTGGGAAACTGGAGTCGCTTAGCCCGCAGAATCTTGTCGATTGCTCCACTTACTATGGGAACCATGGCTGTAATGGAGGTTATATGCCTGCTGCTTTCCAGTATATCATAGATAATAAAGGAATCAACTCCGAGGCTTCCTATCCATATAAGGCCAAGGTTTGTGTGGTTATTATTGCAGAAAATTACTTGCAACTTTGCTCTAAATTGCGGTGTCCAATCTTGGCAACTTTAAGAACTGTGGACTTCAATTCCCAGAATTCCCCAGTCAGCCATGTATAACTGATTGGGGAATTCAGGGAGTTGAAGTCCACAGATCTTAAAATTATCAACATTGGACAATCGTGGTCTAAATTCTATCTTTGGTCTTCTTCCATGATGGTTTGCAAAGCGTGAGGAGTGTTGTAATTAAACCTGGCACATTTAATCATTTCCCTGACTTCCTCAACGGAGGTTGCAAACCTACACACAGCAACATAAATAAGCCCTTGCTACTTGTTCCAAACATAATTTATAGGGTTGGGCCATAAGATCCATTTGCGCTTCTGTGTAATCATCCAACTTTAAGGAAAACAGAGGAATAATTCAGAATGAATGGCTACTCCATCTTAAAAGATATATTTTTTGTTTCATTCACATCAAATGGAGCATTATCAAGATGGCATCTGCACCTTTTGAAGCAACGAAAGAGGTGACAATGTCATAGTATTAAATTATAATGGAATGAATCAACCATCAATTACAAGCAGTGATATTTTAACATACTTTCTCAATCCTTATCACCACTATAAAAATTACATTTATCCCTCATCATGCTTTTGCTGACCAAACTGAGGTGGAGAAATGCTTATTGTGATTCCAGACCCATTTATTTTACCTTAATTAAAATATTGTTTTTGCAAGACACCCAATGCAACATGCATTTATGTTTTACAGTCACTGTGGTTGGGCTGAGTTCCAGCCATAAATTTTTGCACCTCCCAAAGGTGTTGGCCTCACCTACAACCTGGAAGAGGCTGGGGTTTTAAACGCCAACAAAATTATGGTTATTTAAGAAATAAGCCAGAAGGAAAAACACTGGAGTTGAGTGGGGCACAAATATGTGGGTTTACTTAGAAGGAAAACCAGTTTGAACTTTTTCCTGCTTCCTGCAGGATGGGCTATGTCGTTATAATCCCGCTGCACGAGCTGCTACCTGTTCTAAATATATCTTGCTTCCGTCTGGAAATGAGACTTACCTGCAGGATGCTGTAGCCAAAATTGGACCAGTGTCAGTGGCCGTCAATGCAAACCAGCCAACGTTCTTTTTGTATAGGAGAGGTGAGGTCTTAACATTCAGACACACAGAAACATGGAGTGCGCCAGCATTTATGTTGATCTGTTAAATGAACAAGATTCGGTTTTGTGAGTTTGGGATCCTGGGTTCCTGATAAACATTTACAAGTGAATCCAACTTTTTTTTCCAAATAGGAGTTTATAATGATGCCAAATGCATCAGTCAGCATTTGAATCATGCTGTCCTTGTGGTTGGATACGGAAAGGAGAATGGCATGGATTACTGGCTTGTGAAAAACAGGTATGCCAGCCCTTGGACAGTTTCAAGGTCTAAACCAGGATTAATAATCAGGCATAGTTATTTTGAGATGCTTTGGTCTTAAATATAAACACATTCTTTTCTACAAATAATTTAGGACCTTCTTGAGGTTATTTTCGACACATCCCTGCTCTGCAGACTGGAGTCAAACATTGCATTATACCAAAATGCATTTGCAAGAGGCCACCACTCCTTAGCAGATGGCCCTGGCATCTTGCTTATTTTTGCCCCTTGTCAATCAAAGCATCTAACTTTTCAGACGCCAAAGAAATCCTATATAATTTGAGCAATATCAGTGGCATTCCCAGCCCACCGCACTGCGTCCTCATTTAGATTCCTTACTTAAGAAAGCTCATTCCTAAAGCATGTGTTCATCATTTTCCTTTTTTTTTTTATTCCAACAGTTGGGGAATCAATTTTGGCCTTGAAGGCTATATTAAAATTGCAAGAAATCAAGGGAATCGCTGCGGCATCGCCAGCTACTGCTCATACCCGTTAATGTAGATGGCATCTCCACTTTGCAGTGGATATTCTCTTCGCTTGAGGCAGCTAATTTTAGCCTTGAAATATATATATATATATCTAACTGTTGCATTCGAGAAGAGCGATTGATCACCAAAACCCAGATCTTCCATTCGGCTCCACCTGGTAGATCTAAGACAAGCTGCCCAAATGAGGGTTTATCTGGATTTAGTTTGGACTTTGCTAATGATCCCTGGGGCACGGCCAGGCTTAATCGGTTAATCAGGTAATGTCTGCCAATCTGCTTTGAGCAAGCAGAGAGCTGGGTAATTGTCAAGGATTTCCATTTCGGGCCACCTGAAAACGGGATGGAGTAAAAACAGCGTCCATAATCTTCATTCAGGAATTTAAACCAAAGTCTTATTTAAAGTTCAGCCATTTGCAAGACAGTTTCTTATCGGGAAAGAGTCAAATGCATATAAGTTGAACTTTGGACTCATTTAACATGAGGAAGAAAAGAACATTTTCACTGCTTGGAGCCACTGCATGGAATACGACATTAGAAACATGGAATCTTAGGGCTGGAAGGGACCTTGGAGGTCATTTAGTCTAACCCTCTGCCCAAGACTGGCGACCTTATACTATCCCGGACAAATAGTTGTTCAATCTTTTGAAAACCTCCAGCAATGGAGATTTTTTGTTCTTCTTGCAACGTATGCTGGATCCTTTCTGAACCTGGATGAAATATAATTCGAAATGTATTTAACCTTGGCCTGTATTAAAGGTTATTAAAGGCAATGCATGTTCAAGAAATCGTGGCTTATTGTGATGTGAAAACCCACTTGCTTTGTTGATTCCATGGTGGTTTATTGTTGGTGTGTTGTCCCTTTGACCAAAAAAAAGGAAGAAAAAAGGATAGAGAATACAGGGGCTAGAAAAAAGCATAATTCTACCCCAGCCCTGAAAAAGATAGCACATTAAGCATTATCCCCCATCATGAATGATGGGGATTGTAGTCACAGCGTTATTTTTCCCCCTCGTGCCTTCTTTGACCTGGGAGACGGTGGGCATTCGACAACTCATCCTTCTCTGAACATGCTGATTTGGGGTAGAGATGGGGTTTGTAGTCCCAACCCATCGAGAAGGAGACAGCTGGCCACAATTGCCTTCTGGTTTTTAAGGATGCTTTTAAAATTGCCCTTAAACATTTATATTAAAAGCCCCGTGTATGACACAGGAAACTATATGAATTTAGCTGATAAACATATGTTTTAAATATAAATGCTGGAGATGGGTGGCCAAAAACTAAGCAATCTTTAAATAATAATAAATAATTTTAAAGGCATGTTTACAAGTCATCACCAGGTATCTATCTCTCTATATCTATATCTTATCTCTATGTAAAAATGAGGTGATTCCCACTTAGATAGAGCATCCCCAACAGGGGGCGCATTACATCATAGGGATGTGATGTCATCCTGCATGACGTCATTGGGCAGGGCTCCAATCAGCAGCCATGCCTGTTTTGAAAAAAGGTAGGAAAAGCCGGGGTGGGGGTGGGGGAGGGGCAACGGTTGGGCTGCCTGAGGAAAAAAGGCGGGAAAGGCGAAAACGCGCCTCGTGTTTGAGGGAGACAGCAGCCCCAAGCGGCCATTTTCCTCCCTCAGGGTGGGCCTTCTCTCCCCTTTCCCAATGTCCTTTTTTTAAAAGAATACACACCATATTGGGGGCTCCAGATCTCTCCAACTAGGCAATCCAATTTCTCCTCTCCTGCAATGGCCGTGATTGCTGGCTGTGAGGAGAATGGCTGGTTCTGGCCTCTTTTGCATCCACTGGCTCTTGATCGCCATTTTGAACCTTTGTGATGAACAAGATGGCAAAGACTAACCTTGGTTCCCCCTCAGGGGCCAAGCTTTCTCTTTCTCTTAGGAATGGAAGGGCAGCAAAAATGGAGGATAGCCTGGAGATCCACTTAGCATCCTCCACCAGCTGGCTTTTCTCAATATGGCAGCCACTTTGGGGGCCCGAGGGGGGAAAAAGATGGCGGACACTGCAATTCTCTATATTTTGGGAAACCGGCATCTCCACAACAATAAATCCTGGCACATTTATTCCAGGAACACATAATTGCTCCCATCAAAACTGGTTCTACTTGAAAGCCACCTTACCCAACCTGTTTAGCCATCCTGGTTTGGCAACTAGAATTGATGGCTTAGGGTAGAGGTGTCCAAAATGACAATTTTCAGACCTGGAGACTTCAAGTCCCAGAATTCCCATCCTGACAGGGGAATTCTGGGAGTTGAAGTCCACCAGCTTTAAAGTTGCCAAGGTTGGACATCCCTGGCTTAGGGCATTGTGGGAAGGCAAGCCACAAACACCCCCAAGCTGGACCATTTCTCCTAATTCTTCCCCTTAATAATCCAGGACTAACCAATCCTTTTATTGTTTATTTTATTAACAGAGGATTGCAATATCCCATTAGAAAAGGACATGGCAACTTTGCAGAAGCAAAGGAATCCTCTGGTAGGCTTGAGGCGCCTGAAGACAGATCCTACCCAGCATTGAAATCTAGGATCGTTTGGCCCGGAAGATCAAGGGTTTCTTTCTTTTCCAGAGTGTGGCCACATTCCCCACCAAAATTGCAACCGAACAGCAATCCCTCATGTTGGTGAAGCGGCTGCTGGCCATCTCCGTCTCCTGCATCACCTATCTCAGGGGCATTTTGCCCGAATCTGCCTATGGGACAAGATATTTAGATGGTAATGCCCTTTCCATGTATTTGAGGCAAAAAAAGAAGGAGAAATCCTGCTGGAAAAGGGATTGGGAAGGATGTGGAAAAACTTGAAAAACATGGAGGTTCCAAGAGAGAAAATGGACCTTTACCATCAATAATCCCACACACTCCTTGGAGAGCCCTTTCTCGAGAAAAAAATGCATTTAAATGCATGCAAGGAAATATATAAAGCAGGGATTTCTAAGTTTGGCAACTTTAAGACCTGTGGACTTCCATTCCCAGAATTCCCCAGCCAGCCAAGCATGTGGACTTGTGGACTTCAACTCCCAGAATCCCTTAGCCATGACATGGCTGGCTGGGGAATTCTGGGAGTTGAAGTCCACAGGTCTTAAATTTGTCAAGCTTGGACACACCCCTGATATAAAGGGATAGGTTGAGTTTCAAAGGAATCAATCATGCTCTAGTAATAACATTGAGATGTTCTAAAAAAAATATTGCATATGAAAGGAAAACAATTACTTTAATTTTTTTCTAAACCAGTGTGAACTTTTTGCTAGGCTGGCCAACAGCAGGAAGTTAAAATAACTGAAACCTTTCTCGGGGGAGGAAATGGAGGTATTGCTTCTTATGGAGCAGGTTTTTTTTTAATAGTTCCATTTTCAAGGCTATGGGGTATAAGGCTATTGACATATTTTGCATGGAAAGGTTTGGATCTCTGAATCTCCTAATCAGGGAGATTTTGCAGATGCATGATGATGTTATACGGATTATATCATTTCCCTGCACGATGACATCATGAGGGCGATGTCACTGACATCTCCCCCCCACCCCGACAGCCATCGAATGAGGCAAGAGGGTCCACAACTCAGATTTCATAGAAGCAAAATATTTTAGATCAGCCAGTCAAAAGTTTAATTGCAATTAATGCTGGTGGTTTGTTTGTGTCTTTCAAGATCTATGCGTGAAGATCCTAAAAGAAGATAAAAAATGCCCTGGGTCCAGCCAGCTCGTGAAATGGTATGTTTTCTACCATTTGCAGGTTCCTGCACATTTGTGTCCTCTGGCAGGAATGGCAGCAGAAAATGAATTCCACTTTTGCAAATTCATATGTTTTCCTGATTCATCTTATTTAACCAAGGAGATGAATGTATTGGACAGCAAAGTCGCTGGTATTTGGGCAGTGTACAAATTAAATAAGTCTTGGGGATGATGTATTGTAACAGAAGCATGTGTTCAATTAAATTAATGTTATGCTTCATGCATAAGTATATAAATTGACTTTCTTAGCCAAACCCACTGGTAAGCAGTCATGAATGCTATATAGAAATAATTGCATAGTCTGGCACTATTGCATATTTTTGGTTTCAATTAATTCACTTAAAGTGTATTTTCAGTTCATGCATGCAAAAGCTAAGCGTAAAGCCTCAATCATATTTAATTTTTTGCAGGATGCTAGGATGTTACGATGCCCTGCAGAAAAAATATGTAAGTCAGCATTTGGTCTCTAACGGGCTATAGTTTTACAAGTATGAAAACCCTTCTAATATCAATTTCTTTCTTGCTTGTCTTTTAAACAGCTCAGATTAATCGTCTTAGCAGTAAGTTTGGCAAATATATACATTCTATATATGGAAATAAAGCTTTCCTTTCTCCTTGCTTGATTTTCATTTTGTTGTTTATCACTGAATACAGGTCTACACCAACCAGGAGGATCCCCAGGTATGTCATCTATGTCATTTCTTACAAACTTTGTGATTGGATGCTTTGATTTGGATAAAAACATCTATTAAAATTCTTATAAAGGCATTTATTACAAAGAATATTTTGATAAAGGTGGATACTAAAAGCTTTGCATGCATTATGTTAATCAGGATAACAGAAACTATCAGCACTGGAGCTAGAAAGAAATGAGTTAGCTCTTTTGTTCTTCGGGAACGAAGTATTTTTTTCCCTTATAAAAATACTTTTGTTGACACAGAAAATAACAAAGCCACAACCCACTAGGTGTCACCCTACCTCTGTATTATATTATTGTAAACATACTGGAGGCTGGTTTTTCTCCCCATCCTTGTAGTTTTAGTTGGACCATTAAGAAACCACTTACTCTTTGATTTTTTTTTTCTTATGCAAAATGCTGTTCCCCAAATTCATCTTATGCGCAAGGCTTTGAAATTTGTTTCTTGGCATTACAAAATAGATTTGATCCTGTCATTTCGCTCACAGTTCTCCTTCTGAGTGCTAGATAAATAACTGCTGCATTTTGTATTAGACGGTTACAGAATGTTACCAGTTTAAGTTCAAATACACAGACAAAGGACCTTCAATGGATTTCAGAAGGTATGCCTTTATTTTTTCCCCCTTCATCAAAGAACTCCAGTAAAATATTTTTCGAGCTATTTGTCTCAGTAAAGTGTGGAGAAATGTACGGTTTGATTTTGGAACCTGAACGTTAAGCTGTGTGTGTTTGTTGACAAGAAAAATGTACGTTTGCTTCAAAACAATTGCTCACTAAAAGTTGGCTTGTTACAAAGTCAATATAGGGTTGCTGCAACAAACATGATCAAAAATATCTTTGGCCACCTCTGAAATTCTTCAGAAATTCAAAAAATTGCAAACATAGGCTTGCCTTTTAGAATTAAGAAGACCCCTAACTCGTCATGCAAGACTGAATGGGCTTCCAGAGGCTGTCGGAAAGGCAGCCTCGCCCCCTCACCCTTCTCCCCACAATTGGTATTCATGCTCATATGCCCTTTGACCTTTTAGGTCCCATCCAGCCTTCCTGGTTTGTCCTCCCTGATAGATTTATCTTCCATGATGAATCTGACTAATTCCCCTTTAAAGCTATTTAAGCGAGTGGAAAGAACAACACCACATCCTATGGAGCAATTGTCATAAATTAGATCGTGGCATTCCGTGAAAACATCCTGCCTATGGTGTGTGCTGCTGAATCAGGTTGTGTTGCACAACATCACATTCAAGAGAGAGACAGACAATTCTATGTCTCCACATCTTGCATACTTTTATAAACACCTCTGTTTGTGTCTGACTTCCCCAACCCTCCTGGTCAAGGACTGTTTTGCTGCCCTCGCTGTGCTCCCTTTGGGGTAACTTTTGTCTGCAGACACAGCTGGGTGCAAGGAATGTCTTGGACAGAGCTGGGTTTATAGTCTTGGGAAGGAAGCTAAAACGTCAGGATCCTCCTTTTTAGGGGAGGTAATGAACTTATGGGACCCTCGTAACACAACTCCGGCTACTTTGTGCTTCTAGTCAGCAGAGTCAATCGAGCATCACATGTGCTGATACTAAGAAAGCAAGTATCCTGCTCATCCGGAAGATTTATATCCTGATGCAAAACCTGGGCCCGCTGCCTGATAATGTCTGCCTGACAATGAAGCTGTTCTATTATGATGAAGGTATCCTTAAAATTTTAATATCATCTAATAAGGGAAATAGGTTAAGCTTACCAACCTGTGTCATGGCAGAGCATGGATTATTTTCTTTCCAGTTACGCCCCCTGACTACCAGCCCCCTGGATTCAAAGAGGGCGACTGCGAAGGGATGGCCTTCGAGGGGGAGCCGATGTACCTCAATGTTGGGGAGGTTCCCACCCCTTTTCATATGCTGAAAGTGAAAGTGACCACTGAGAAGGACCGCATGGAGTGTGTGGACAAAGCCATCCTAAGGGAGGACGCCTCCCTTGCTTCCGTGCAGGGCTGGCACCTTCAGGAAGACCAGCATCAAAAAATGGATGTAAGAGTTTTGGGATTTATTTGTTTGCTTGAAGGAATCTGTTTTATGTTTTATGCTGTGGGTCACCATAACACCACTTGCATTGCCCGTCCTCAAAATTATCAAAACAGTTCCGTTGGAAGACATTCTTGTTTTGTGTACTTTGCGCAGGAAGATTTTGTGCCAGAAAATAAAACAGGAGGGCAGAAGGATGCAAGCAGGAAGCTGCACCCTGAAGGTACGCGTAGCGTAGGATCTTCTTCTATATCAAAATAACTGGGCGTTCCTCTTAGTTTCCCTGCTTTTTCTGGGCATCAGACGAAGTTGTGAACTCAATGGCTTTAATGTGAATCATGTATGTTCAAAAAATAAGCACGGGGTTGAAAAAGAAGACATTGAAATAAATACTCAAATATCTCTTTTCACCTCCAGAAAGATGACACAAATGTTATGGGTTAAATTCTGTCCCTATGAAAAGTCCTTCTGACTGGAAAGCATTTTGCTTATATTTTATTAAAGTTTGTTGGTTTTATTGAATTTATATAGCTGTCTTTCCCATGCATTTAAACCTTGGGTGATGCAAATTGAGTTGGGACAGGTTGTTTTGGACTAAACATGTGGATGGAGAAGTATTTAGCTATCCCAGGTACTTTGCTAGTCTTGGGAAAGGGAGGAAGAACAAATGTTCCGCACCACAGCCTCTCAGCCTCGCTTCCTGCACAGAGACCAGTGTGACTCCTTCTGCCTAATTTTGAAAATGTATTAAGGCAGCTCCAAAGTTTAATTATCGTTCATTTGGTTTTCTGAAGAACTGCATAATCCTTTACAGAGCCAAACCTAATTTGCACAGAGGAGGAGAAAATCACAGAAGAACACCCGAGCTGCCCCATCAATAATTCTAAGGTACAAAGCACAGTTTTCTTTCCCAACATCCCTGCTCTCCCCACAGGATAAAAGAAGAAAACTGGTTCAGCTATTTGAGTGCAGGAACATGCTGCTTTCACCAGTTCCAGCCTGTGCCATTATGAATTTATTTTCCCAACCATGCTGTGCTGGGATAGCTTCTCAACTTCCAATTAATTTACTTTTGTTTTATTTACAACGTGGCAAATGATTGTTAAAGAACGGCCCAACTGAAGCTTATGAACAAAACTGTGTTTAGTGTTCAAGGCTCAGCTTGAAGCTGAGGACTGTATCGCAAAGATGAGAGGAAGCAAGCCTTTTTATGGACAAAAGCCTCTGTCCTACCTGTTCCTAAATAGCTTATGGTACACGACTCTTAAGCTTGAAAAAAGCAGAAACGTGGTCCATTAAAGTTTAGCCAGTCACTATTTGGTTGTTTTAACTCTTTTTAGGTGGATCATTTAATAAGCAAGACATCAGAACTTGAAGTCACCGAGAGCAGAACCCGAAGCGGGAAAAAATTTCAGCGAAACATAGTAAGTGTTTTATTCTTAAACATGCATTATTTTAAAAGATCAGACTGATAAGCACACAGGCATGACAGCATTGATCGTTAGCACTAACTGCTCTTAATTTATCCTCCTAAATTTGAATTACTTCCCTGGTATCTCCGCTTCGTTACTGTTCCCATAACTGGGTTGACTTTGTTACGTTTGTTGTTAATGAAAACATTAATTCCTATAACAAATTTCCTTGCAACCTATCGTTTTATTTTATCCTCACACTGACCTTTTCTTGTGAATGTCTTAAGATCGCATGCTAAGATGCGCTGACTTTTAGACTGACTTTAAATTTGGACGGCTAGGATCCGAGACGGGAAATACGAGCACAGCTAAGTAGCAGCCCTTAGTAGTGTCTCTTTGGTCTTCACACCAGCTGTTTAATGAAAAAACATGAGGTCAAATCCGTCCCAGGAAGGCTTCCAGCTCTCATACTTGACTGTCCGCAAGGTGCAGAGAAAACGGTGCTGATTAAGAGATTAAATGACTGGCGTGAAAGCCTGTTGGGGGGTGGCTTTTATAAGAACTCCCACCCTGAATTCCCAGTTTCCAGGAGAAAGTGTTCCAGAAAGAACCTTTAGGTCAGTCTGAATCTTTGCAGATCCTCCCATCCATCATACAAAGTGCTACTAAAAAAAAAAACCACTCTTTGCACCAGCCAAATGCCTGATTGATATAAAATTGTCCACCTATAAGCATTGAGGGAAAGATTCTGCCAGAATCAGCAACTTAAGAAGTGCCCTTTAGCATGTACAGCAGGGGAAGTAAATCACATGTCATCAGGACCAAGCTACGGCTTGCCCTCACTGTCGCCACTCGTAGAGAGCCCTTCATTAATTTTTTAGCACGAGCCGAGGAAGAGTAACAGCCTGCAGATGCCTCGTGAGCGTCTTAATGGCCGTCTGCAGGCTTTTCTCCCAGAGTAACGGTTCCTCTGTCTCTGTCAAGGGTGCCGTGGAAAACACAAAGCAGAGGCCGTCCAAGGGTGCCGAAGCCCAGAAGAGAAGGAGCTCGGAACTGGAGAAGCCTGTAAGTGCTTCTGCGCCACACTTAGACCTTCCCCTTCCTTTCTCCAAGCAGGATTTGGGCAGGATAAATAGAAAGTCTGACCTCTTGAAAGGTCCGCTTTGCAAAGGGAGGCGGCTCGCAGGGCGATGGAGGCTCACGGCTGCCCATCCCTTTCACGCCTCTGCACATTTAGCCTTGCAGTCCTTTACTCACACTTGCTCCAGGGTAACTGTGGCTTGGACCGTAGCCACAGTCAGAGACACATTCTACAAAATAAGCGAGCCAAGTCGGAGCTGCCGAAATAAATCCAGCCAGGGATGCGATAAACTCAAAGCCATGCCACTGAACACAGCGGTGGTTCTGTTTGAAGTTCTGCAGCCCACCATAAAATATTGTTCTGGGGTGCACAGCCACACATTTGTGCACGTAACAGGTGTGACACCACAGGTAGCCCAGGTCTTCCTAAGACTGTCTCTTTTTTGGCCGTGTAAAGTTTGGGACCGACACTCTGACAATTCTGTCTTCTACAACCACTTGGTTTTGTAATAGAATAAGCTGCATTTTTGCGTAATAGTACATTTCCCCACCTCTCTCAGTCACTGACTGGTGGAGGATCAATCTATTTTGGAGAGGGATATCCATCCACCTTATTGCTTATATTCTAAGGCACTTCCTGCAACATTAGCGAGGCTTAATTCTCAATCAAATCCACATACGTTCACTGAAATGCTACCCTAAATCTTAAACAGGTTTGCTGGAGACGGCCGATCTTGCATTTTTCTGTCAAATCCTCCATTTAATCTCCATCGATGTTTTTATTGACATTGTGCCACATTCTTCATGTTTACCGAAGAATAAGTCCCTTAAAGTTCAGCCGCGCTTGCATGATGGGAAACGCAGGCCGGATTGCAGCCAAATACACCTTCACCCACACACCCTGCTTTTTTTTTTGCAGCAATGGCTGAAAATTTACAGGCCTTTTCTCATCACCTCTAGCCTAAGTAAAGAATTACATGTTCCAGCACTTCCCCTGTATAAATGAGTGGCTGCTAATGCTCGTGGCACTTTCAAGTCTAATGGCAAACAGAGCACACACAAAAAAAGAAGTAATAGAACATACTGGCTGGAATATATCAGCTCCAAAGGGAAGCGGAGTTGCGGCCGCGGTTGCGATTGTGTATTAAATGGGCAAACATTTCCCCCGGCTGTCCTTGGAGCGCCCCGTCCTCTGCAAAGGGGAAGAAGCCGGGTTTAAAAATCCCTATTTGATTTCATTTCACGAAACCCTTCAGAGAGAAAGGTTTGCCTGTCAAGGGCATCCAGACTGCCCCTTAAAACGGGGGGGGGGGGGGGGAGAATTAGGCAGGTTTGCTGCCTTGAGCTGTTTATCAGAATGATGAAGGTGGGGTATAAATAAATGAATAAAAATAAAAAAACCGCCACCTGGGTTCCTGTTCACGGATCTGCTCCGCTCAGCAACCCACCCCAAAGAGTTTATTTGCAATCAAGGAGAACGATAAAAGGGGGCGAGGAGGAAGCGGGAATTCTCACGAAACGATTTACATTCTGCATCTGCTTTTTGGCTTTTTTTCTCCCCCCCCCCTTCCAGGTTTATCCTCTGGATTTCTCCTCTAGCCAAGACGTCAGTCCCAAGCGGAAGAAAATTAGCCAGCCCAAGGAAGAGTTCTAGGCCCCCCCTTGACTTCCCTCCCTCAGCCTGTTGCTTTTTCCCTTCTGGATGTTTCAAAGAATGTGTTTTGCAAAGATTAAAGCCACTGGAACGTGTGCGGGGCTCTCCTGTTCTTATTTCACTTACGGGACGGGACGGGGGGGAGATCCAGGGGCGCATCCCACCCACAAGCCTGGGGGAAAAAAGGGGGGTGGCGTGCAATCCTCGAGTTGTGGCCGCAACCGAGCCCCAAGTTCCGGCCACTGAGTGAGTCAGTCGCCAAGTGCCTGAATTCTGATCCTGGGATCCTGGGGATGCTTTTCCCCCCAGGGTGGCTGCAGCTTCGGACGGCTGTGAGTCGGGGTCTCGGCTGCCCAAGAAGGGGCCACGCAGGGCGCCTGGGCCCTGGGGTTGGGGGCCACGAGGAGGGCCCCCCGCTTTGCCCCCCAAAACCGCCCCTGGGGGGGGCGGAGGAAAAAAAATGGGGGTCTTGGGGGGGGTCCCCTCTGCGGGGGGAGGGAGGCTTCCCCCAGAGAAGGCGGGGCGCCTTCGAGGGAGCTTCTTCCGGAAGCCCCTCCCCCACCCAGGCCTTTTTTTCCCCGCCTTTTTCTCCTCAGCTGCCAGGCGGTGAGTGGCGGCCTCTCCCCCTCCTCCCCCCCCCGCCCCTCAGACGGGCTCCCCTCTTGCGGCTAAGCCCCGGTGGAATCAGCGCGCCTGGTCTCCTTCTCCATCTGGGAACCGTGAGGAAGATTGCCCCTGCGGCTGGAGGCTCCACTCCCAGCCCCCAGGCCTGCCCTTTCCTGGGCCAGGGTCTCCCTCTCAGGCGGGCCTCTGTGCGCGTGTGCGGGGGGGAGAGGGAGAAACAAAGGGGTCTCCTCAGTCCCTTTTATGGGCCCTCCCGAGATGGGGGGGAAAAGCCCCTTCAGAAACAGATGTTTGTTTGTTTATTGTGTTTATTCATGTTTTAAACTCCTTCACCTCAGGGGGAGCAGTCTACCCCCGCCCCGTTTTCAAGCCCCCCCTCATTTCCCCCCGCCCCCGATTTTCCCTCAGCCGTGTCGGCCAAGCCAAAGCAAACCCCCACTCTCCGCACCCCCATTGGCCGCCGCGTCCGTCAATCAGGCGGGCTGGTTTCACCCCCCTCTCATCCCGGACTATCCATCCTGCCCCCTTGGCAAGTTTGCGAGTAGCCCGCGGGGGAAGGGAGGGAGGGAGGGAGAGAGAGGGAAGCCCCGCCTACCCCGGCAGCCGATTGGTCCTTTCCGCGGCTGCCGCCGCTCCCATTGGTCCTCGGCGCGACTACCGGGATACGTTTCCCGGGGACACCAGGAAGCGATGGGGGAGCCTTTGGGGCTTTTCTTCTCGCCTCCTTTCTTCCCGTAGGTGACCCAGGAAGTCAGGTGCGCTCGGCTTACCGGGGCTGCCGGCTGCCCCAAGAAGCGGAGAAGGGTGAGGAGGGAGGCTGAGCAGCGGCTGGGAAGACAGAGCCAAGAGTGCGGGTAAGGGTTGGTGCAAGGGGGGGGGGGAGCAAAGCAGCCATAGATGGGGAGGGAGCACGGCTTCTTCCATTGGCAGGTACAGGTGGAAGTGGGCTCCCCCCCCAATGGGGAACCAGCTCTGCCTGTAAGGGGGAGCGGCTTGCAAATGAGGAAGGTGTCGTGCAAAAGGGGCTGGGGGCAGGCCCTACAGCCCCCCCCCCCGGGCGTTTGTGATGTAGGGAAAGCCCAGGTCTCTATTTGGAGTATTCAAGCCCTTTTCCCCTGGAGGGCTTGTTTCTCCTTCCTGCCCCCACCTCCTAGAGGGTCACCTTTTAAACTTGACATTGGCCCCCGATGTATTTCCACCCGAGAGGCTCAGGAATACAGCAAAGCCATCTTTTCAGACCCTTTTTCTGCCCTGTGGCTGCCACATATACAGTTCCTCTTTCATCGCAAGCAAAGGGGTGTCCGCATCTGATGCTGCCAGGTTCCTGTTTGCTCGAGATTGGGCCCTCTCCCGTGGACTAAGCGCTCCCTGAACGAGCCTTGGATGCTGCTGCCTATTTTGCCTTTCTTACGCATTTATCACAGCTTTATAAAAAAAAATACATCTTTTTACGTTCATTCTCAAAACCTTGCTGGGAAGAAAAGTGAGAGCCTTTGCATCAGGTTCTTTGGCAGAATGGTTACTCAATAAGGACTACGATGCTGTATAGTCCTTTCCAACTTTAACTTGCTGCCTCTACACGATGGTTGACATGTTATCCTTTCTGTTGGTCAGCTTTTAGAAAAAGGAGGAGGAATAGTCTGTGGATTATATTGGTACCACAGCTCCCAGAATTCTCACTGACATAGGAATTCTGGGAACTCTGGTCCCAACACATCTGGATCCCATGGAAACCAGGCTTAGAACTTGCTTGCAAACCACCCTTGATAAGGCAAAAAGCAAAACTTGTACGTTATTTTAGAAAATGATTAGTCTGTGGTTTTCAAGTCCCTGTGATTGTTATTTGATACTTCAGTTACCTTGTGGTTGATTCATTAAATCATGATTGAGCAAATTGATTTAGATGAGCTGGGGTTTGATTTTTTTTTGAAGGTTGTAGTGTTCGCTCAGAAGGAACCGTGTCTTCTGAGCATGGGGTCTCTTCCTCACCTCCCCACAGAGAATGCGTTCTCGGTTGTGGGGATTGGGTCGAGTGCGTGGGGCAGGGCCCGCTGCCTGTTAGGGAAGTTGCTATGGGGAGGTTGCCCGGGCTTTGATGGGTTTCTTCACACAGCTCATTGAGAGGCTTGGCAGGTGAGCACAGGTGGCACAATCAGTGGCTGTTTACACAATTGCATTTCCGTTAGGCTAACACACCCAGAGAAGAGAAGCCATGACAACGCTGATCCACCGAGGGAAACGCGTGGAAGTCGGGAGGCATGCAGACAAGCGGCTGGAGGCTGAAGAACATGCCGTGGTCAGCCAGACTCCGGGTGAAGAAGATCCCGGAGACTCCAAAGATATCCGCCTTACTCTCATGGAAGAGATCTTGCTTTTGGGCCTGAAAGACAAAGAGGTAGGATCGCTCGCCTTGGGGGTCCTTTCCTGCCGTTCTTAATCTGTGCCCTCTCTTTTCCCAGTAAGGCCTCTGACAACGTACAGAATGTAGATTTGGTTTGTGAGCAACAAAAAGTCCTCGGAAATAAGCCCAGGGGTGACACAATTTTGGTAACAACTCTGCACAACTAAAACAAGTTTCCTAAACAAGCCAGCATGTCTTAAGAAAAACAACACGGCAGCATTGCAACACGATGTGAAGGGAGAGAGAAAAATTCCAGTTAAGTCAGAAAATTGAACTCCGGTTTCGGATTCTGACTGAGGTCATCGAAGATTCAGTCGCGATTTAACAGTGCTCGTACGAAGGAGTGGAGTTCGTTATGATGGGTGGTTTGCATTTTAAACCAACAGTAAACTGATCCCTCTGGCATTGGATTTACCAGCAAACCAGTTTGCCAAGTTTTTTTTTGTTTGTTTTTTTTTTTTTTTGCCAACACCAAGGCTCATAACTTTCCCCTAATTAGAAAAGTTTGATGGGGACTAAGAAGGGGTGTGGGAAAACAAAACTTCCCAAGCATCTCCTTGGGCATTGGTAACGTATTCCTGTCTTGGTCAGCCAACAATGTCACGTTAAGTCCCGAAATGTTAATTTAATGCCATTGGCAGGAGAGGAGACTTGATTCAGTTGTCAACAAACAGAACCTGATTTAATGAAAAACCAGGAAACAGCAGCCCATGCCAGCTTGGCTCTCTTCCTTCAGAGCGAGACAATAGGAACATTGATGCCTGTATTTTTGGCCAGTCAAGTATGTCTGCAGAAACTCCCGTAATTTGGGGCATCGCAGATAAGAGTGAGGAAACGATTCTCTCCAAGAGGCTGGAAGTTGCATTTGGAGGCTGTAACATAAGAAATCAGCATTTAACTTTGGTGTGTCGTGTACATAACTCCTTGCCCTTTGGGGACAACGTTTAAATTGTAGCGTCCCGATTCCAGCGGCACCGGTTCGGTGACTTTCGGGAGCTTCATTTCCTGTTCTCGCTCTGGGACGCTGGACCCACGTGGCAGGTTCACTCAGGGAGGAACTGGTGCTGGCTTTCCTTGCCTGGCACGGTCAGCCTTTGGGCCCCTACTAATAGGGTCCGGATGTAGCTTCCATCCTGGATTTCCTAACTTTGCAGACCTGGAAGCTAATCACGATAGACCGAATAGAAAAAAAAAATACATTGCTGTGGGAATGTAAAAGAATGCCTGGCCTTTTTATTTTATTTTTTTACAGTAGGGGATACCATATTGCATCCCTAAGTAAAAGAATTGGTTGGATAAACACCTTTTTACTGTACTTTAAGGATGGTATTCCCAAAGCTTGTAGCCAGGATTCGCTTCTCCTGCTCGGAAAAAGGTGCAGCAGAATCCTCCATTGTGTCATTTTGACTGGCAGAAATCATAGGCAGTAAAATTGTGTTTGGCTTTAAATAGAGTCTAAAGGAATTGGATTCAGATTTACTTCAAAGACAAGCTAGAACCGGAGAAAGAAGAGATGCGAAATGAGAGAAAGAAAAAAATAAAGTAGGAAAAACACAGATTAAACTGCCAAGAGATTTATAAGCATCATAAAACAATGAATTGAGTGCAGATTTTCGAAAGAGCGCTGAGTTCTACATGTTTAAATATTTTGCGTCATTTAAAAAACTACAGATGGTGGTTAAAATCCTATTTTTCCTCCATTACTTTCAGGAACTGTGTAACGATTTAATTGGATGTTGAGAAGGAAAGGAAAGTTGGTATTTTATGAGTATTTGCATATTTGAGAGGTTTGAGGTTGATGGTAATTTGTGTGTTTTAGACATACAGGAACTGTAAAACCTCTGTTTTTCTGTTTGTGTCCACATGTCAGGCAAATGTTCTCTGCTAGAATTATTTCCTGTATATATAACCACCCTATCTGTGCTGTCAGAGTTGGAAATATAATCTAAGGAAATATATTATTAACCTAGCTGGGACCTTTTAAAAAAAGCAATTAATCACATGCTTGGTTATTAGGCATCATTATAAAGTTTGTAGTCATTATCTTAATTGACTTATAATTATACACTCTAGGAATCGCCAGGCAAAAGAAAAAAAATGAACAGATTAGATACAATACGACTGGTTTTTTCCCCCCACACTTGCCTGGTGCAAGAATGCAGGTTGTAAAATACGACACTGAACTCAGCGTATCTAAGCGTCAAGGTTTAATACCTTGAATTAAAACTCTGCACTTACGGACACCGTCTTCCTACTTGGGGGCACGATTTCTGAAAATCTGAATTTAATGATAGTTTTGCTACTCTCTATTTTCACACCCTTTTATCGAGAACGGGCCTTTTCCTCCTCACATTATTAAATGGATAACTAAGCGGGGGGACCTATGGCTGACATTTGTGTGTCAGGGTGTATAAGAATTGGGCCAAATGGGTACCTGTGGGTAGCGTCTGGCAGGACCAGGGCGATTTGGGGTAAACCTGTGTGTGCACTTTAGGAGCTGCTGAGCTCCCTCCGTTGACTTCTGCTTTCCTCGGCCTCTCAGGGCTACACATCTTTCTGGAATGACTGCATTTCTTCGGGGCTGCGAGGGGGCATCCTTATTGAACTGGCCATGCGAGGGCGGGTGCAGCTGGAGCCCCAGTCCATGAGGAAGAAACACCTGCTGGATCGAAAGGTAGGGTGAAGGCTAAAGCTTCCCTGCTGGCCCGCCCCCTGAAGGGCTGTGGTGCCTTCCCCTCTTCAGCACGCGGACCCTGTTCTCTCCTCCCGCTCAGGTTGTCATCAAGTCGGACGCCCCAACGGGAGACGTGTTGCTTGACGAGACGCTCCGACATCTCAAGGCCACCGAGCCAGCTGAGACGGTGCAGACTTGGATTGAGTTGCTCACAGGTAAGAGAGATGGGACGACTGTGTGGTGCGGCTGCTGTCGGCGCCTCTCGGATCGCAACTGTCGGTCTCTTGCAAAATGCTTGCGTTGTCCCGCAGTGCGGAAACAGCTGTGTGGCTGGCCTCTTTCACTGAGCCTGCCGGTGTCTGTGGTTGGGGTCATGCGTTGCAGTGAGCCTGGGTGGTGTGGGATCAGTCAAAATTGGCCAAAGCCGGTCAGTTGTAACTCGTGCTTTCAAGCCACTGCAACGCAGATTGAAAAAAACAGAAAATGCTGCACTTTATGGCTCAGTGCAATGCACAGATTTGGACAGAAGGGAAACGAGCGAATGGTTAAATTGTTGGAGAAGCCGGCATTATCTGGGTTTAGAGAGGCATTCAACTACCGGTATAGACCGTTGTCCAAAAATGGCAGTTATCGTCAACCCCAAAGGAAGAAATCAAACTCGCTTCTCCCAAGAGTTGAGCTCTGGCGATCACAAACACTGAGTCAGCTTTTAATATTTGCCCAAAGTGTTGGGTGTAACTTTACCCAGAGGTAAACAGAGAATTGGTTTGTGGTGGATATAAATCCATATATTTTGGAGATGATCTTCAGAACCTAGGATTGAAGAGAATAAGGGATGAGGGAGCGTCAGGCTGGCCCGTCCAAAGCTCTTGGTGGGGGGGGCGGCTCCCGTCATAATTTGCGTCCTCGGGACAGACAACCGCGATTCCCACGGCTCCCCCTCCTTTGCAGGCGAAACCTGGAATCCCTTCAAGCTGCAGTACCAGCTGCGCAATGTCCGCGAGCGGATTGCCAAGAACCTGGTGGAGAAAGGCATCCTGACCACCGAGAAGCAGAACTTCCTCCTCTTCGACATGACCACCCACCCGGTCACCAACACCACGGAGAAGCAGCGGCTGGTGAAACGGCTTCAGGAGAGCCTCCTCGACAGGTGGGTCAACGACCCCCACCGCATGGACAGGAGGACTTTGGCGCTGCTGGTCCTGGCCCACGCCTCGGACGTCCTGGAGAACGTCTTTGCCAGCCTGGTGGATGAGAAGTACGATGTGGCGATGAATAGGTCCAAAGACCTGATGGATAGGGACCCCGAGGGGGAGGCCGCCAAGGCAGCGGGCACCGAGATGATCTGGGCCGTGTTGGCGGCCTTCAATAAATCCTAAATCCTCCTGGCGCATGAAGTGGTTCCGAGCGGCTTCGGCCCTTTTGCCCTCCAGGAAGGAAGCCCGCGGCTTAGTGGTGTCTCCCCACCTTCCTGGCCAAGAGCTTTTGGGGGGGACTGCGGCTTGCCAGGCCCACCATCGGCCTTGGAAGCTGGGCCTGGAGAGCTCAGTTCTGTTACAGCCCTGCCTTCTCTCTCTCTCTCACACTCACACACACACACACACACACACACACAC